CTCCGATTTCCGAGCCGTCAGGTGCCGGGTAGCAGTGCTAAATACCAGCTCTCCTGCCACCTCTGTATCTCACATTCGCCCGTTGTATCGGCCCGTTGAACTGTATTTTGTTCACTTGGACCCACTCATATATTGCAGAGAGGTCATCTTGCAACCTCTCGCAATTTGTCTTGTCCGCAATAGTTATTAGTACGTATACTGGTGACGTCCGCGAATGACGACGCAGAGGCGTGGTTCACTGCCATACCTGCCGGCGATGTAGATGAGGAAGACTATAGGGCCAAGTACCATTCCCTGTGGTACTCCATTCTTCATCCCGGCCTCACTGGTCTCCCTGTGGTACTCCACTCTTCACTCCAGCCTCGCTGATCTCCCTGTGGTACTCCACTCTTCACCCCAGCCTCGCTGATCTCCCTGTGGTACTCCACCCTTCACCCCAGCCTCGCGGATCTCCCTGTGGTACTCCACCCGTCACCCCAGCCTCGCGGATCTCGAGCCTCCGACAACGACAGCTCGTAGTCTTTCAGTCAGGATGTTGTGGATCCATTCCAACAATTCGCCTGTAGATCCTGCAATAGTCTTAACATTCTGAAGATCACTCCATGGCCAACTTTGTCAAACGCTTTCGCGGTCTAAATACACCACATCCACCTCGGCCCCCACCTCCAGCATGACCAAAATTTGGTGGAGATGCTCCAATAACTGAGATAAACAGGAGCGAATTTGCCCGGAATCGTGTTGTCTTCTGTTGAAAAAGTCAGCTTCCTACATGTTTTGCACCTTTCTTCTGGCCACGACCTTCTCAAATACCCTGATTACGTGTGATGTTAATGTAGCCGGCCTGTAATTTTGGGGTTTGTCTCTCGCACCTCCTATTTAGATTAGGGTTATTAGCCGTAATTTTAGGTTACTAAGTAACGTTTCCTTCTCTCAAAGATGTTTTCCAGAGCAAATTCAGAGGAACCTTTAGTGCACCGACACATTTTTTCAGTAACATGTACTGCAAGGGCCCAGGAGCCGAATAACTAGATAATTCTTGGATTCTCCTCTCTAGATCCGATGTTCCAAACTCAATGTTCAGCAGGCACCACTGTGGGCCTGATTTGGCCTTTGACTAGGCATACGTGTAGAAATATTTGGGATTCTTAATGGCAGCCACCGCTCGCGTCTCCGCCACCTAGCTGGTGCTCAGCCTCTATGAATCCTGCAGTTGTCGTTCAGTATCCTCAATTTTCTTCTTACGAATAGCTCATTTTCTCAAGTGGATTTGTCTGTCCATAGGAATTGTGTTCCGTTTGGGGGTCGTTCTTCCCTGCGCATGACGCGCATACCTGCAGAAATGCTTCGCACACCTTGTTGTAAATTGCTTCGGCATTCAACTCCAGAAACTCGGATCTCCAATCGACTTCGAGTAAATCTGTCAAATGGCCTCTCAGTCCGTTTTTCAATGGCGAAAATTCAGGCTCTTCCACATACTGGAAATGCCTCCTGACCACTACCTTCTCGATAACCTTGATTACCTGGAGAGTCAAGGTCACAGGTTTGGCGGATGGACCGCAAATGGTGGTACAGTAGTGTTAACCCAGGTTTCTCAACACGACGACAGGAATAAATAATTTATTCATATTGTGACAATTGACAAACATAGACACACATACACACAAAACTGGGTTGAAATGAGTTCTGCCATCGACGCTAATGATTGATTGCCTGGAGTCAGGTATGGCAAACCAACCTTAAGAGGAGCGTCTGGGCAAAATTAAATCTCAGCTATTTACTGACGGATCAGTTTGAAACTCGGTACACATGTGTAAAACCAAAAGAAAAAATTTTTTCTTCGTGTTAATTTTTCGAAAAATGAAAGAAAACGTAAAATTCTTAAAAAACGACCCGTCTCTTATGACGATTTGACACTCTGCTTTCACTGTTTCACGAATGGTGTATGCTTCAACATCATTCTAGTTTAACTGTTTACGCTTTTTCTGCGCCCGATTTATCCCAGCCGGCTCTCGGTTGCTCAAAAACAAAACTGGAAAGGAGGGGTGTCCTGCACACTTTCGCAATGAACAATTTATGCATTTTACTGACTCCAGTCGTTTCCGACGAAACACTTCATTGCATCACTTGGGCCTAAGCTGTACAAATTAACAACAGGCACAACAAAATATAACCGTCAAACAGCAACGATGAACTTCAGTGATATTCAAGACAGAGCCGACACCTCCTGCCTCGCCCGCGCTCTTGAGGGATACGCTAAGTTCTGCATGCAGAGCCAAGTTAAAATTCTCTAATTCTCTGACTCGTGTGCGGGCAAATTGCCCTCTGGCACCGGGTCTCTCAGGACTGGGGTGACAGCAGGCGCAGTGATCTGGGGCCATACTTTCAAAACTCGCTAAGTGAACGTAAGTACTTACGCACTATTTTCTTATCTATGATCGGTGGATTTGGCTTGAAAGGCCGTCAATGATTGGCGGATGAACTTACGATCTCTTATCTTTTTTTGAGAGTGTGGCCCCTGCTCTGGCGCGTTTGCGGCCGTGTCCTTGTGAGACAACGCTGTGGGTATGATGGTTGCTATGTGATATGCAGCTAGCGAGGATATTTGCTGTTTAACAAAGGCCTACAACCAATCACGAATTGCATAATATAATATATAATTGCGCATAGACAACCTATGAATGCTTTTGCAAAACGCAATTTGGAATAATAAAAAACACTTCCCGAATATCTGGTGTTTTATTTTTCTTATTCTAGCCTGTTATTTTGTTTACAGGATATCGATAAGCAAGCTTAGAAGGAGTGCAGTTTAACGTTAGTGTCCACTATGTAGAAATCAGCTTGGAGTTTTTGTGTTTTCCGTCATGTTAAAAAATCTCTGGCGACAGCAATTATTTTACATGAAATATAGTTCCCATAATAATGCAACACTGATATAGTACCGCCTTCAGTTTTTGGGCTGCCATAAAAATAGTTAGAATGGCATATAACGCAAATTAATTCACAAGCAAACCAGAACTTAATGAAAAACTTCTGTAACCTTTGTAATGCATGGATTCGCTCTAGGCATATAACTCGTCATCAGTACGACCGTGCAATATAGAGCAGGTCGTCGCTACAACCTCCCAGAAGAGATCTCTGACGACCACCTTGTACGTCTGATTAACCTGCCCCACTCACGCCAGGGTTGCTATTGACGTCTCGTTCAGCTAATGCCACAGTACAGTCCTTTAAAATTTCGGTTCGGTCGAGTTTGGGGACCAGATTTACAAACCATTTCAAGACCAAATAATAAATTTTCAAAACTTGGTGGAGGTGTTACTAAGTATCTTGCGTACCTTTTTAATATAGGTATCAGAAAGATGTCACATCTCTAATGAAGTTGTAACTTCTGGGAATGAACGCCATGTCAGAAGCAATCACTTCCCTTCTAATCGTCATTGCTGCCGTACTGCCATCTCACTTCGACCATCTATGCAATCTCGCTGTCTCGCTGTGCAATCTCGCATGTACTTGGCAGAGATAAGAATAATCATCGGGTGATATTTAGGATAGGAAAAAACAATAGGTATTGTCTGGAGCGAGTCTAGACATGTGAAGAATAGCCATTTGCTTTCGGTTTTAATGATGTGATCATCCGGATATGGAAATTCAGTGCCACTATAATGTAAAAAACGCTTGACGTTCACGCTATTATAACAAACAATAATTCAAAGCTGTTATGTTAAACTCTCTATTGATCTATTCTTGTTACCCATGATGCTTATTCGACTTTACTTGTACGTTTCTCGAAATTACTTATTATAAATAGACCGAGGTAACAAAAAGCAAGTGTTTCGCCAATTAGAGTTATTCTACCATCAGAATCGATCTCAAACTAATTAGTTACTTACTTGAATTTACCCGCGGTGCACTGAAATAATTATACGTTTTGTTTTGATTTTGAACGTTCGCACTGCACACTTACGGCCCATCTCAAAGAGGTTGCAGTGACCATGTAGATACGTTTCCTCAAGTTACCCCCGCAACTCATTTTCTAAGAGTGTTGCTAGACCATTATAATTTAGCAGTGTTACCCATCAACTCTAGCTCAATATTATTATTTATGTTATTGCCTTAAGCGTCACAATTAGTTATCAACTGCAATTGGAATACTGTTGAATATGAATTATTATATATTTATAATATTGGCACCGACCTAGGACATTGCAACATTAAGTAACTACAGTAGTCATAATCATTTACACATTTGTAATACAGTGCGTAACCTGGTCTCCAGGCCTAGTCCCATTATTGAGGAAAACTCTTACCGTTTTTCCATCCACAATACGAAACATAATTACTTACACGCCTTAGCCCAACCACAGGGCGTTTCCGCATTTGGTACAACCAAACGTTTCGCACGAGTCGCAGACCTTAAGGTACGCATACCATGCTGCTAGCATTCCCACGTCTTACAAGGTATACACAACCTCAATTTGCGACACCAACCAAGGATCCTCAAATTATCCGCGACCAGAATTCGAAATGTATGAGGATGTGCATTGTGAGGCACACAGTGTAGCACTACTCTGGAGGGCAGTAATGGAATGGGGCTGGTGAAACCTTCTTAACCCTCTACAGCCATATGTCACTCACCGGGAACATAACTTTCAACTTAAATTCTGCGTAAACTATTGAGTATAGCAACCTGAGGACGTTTGTACGCTACAGAGAACATTTTAAAGTCGTAAGTGGCGGCAACCATCAGTGCAAGTCATTTTGCGCTCACTAGAAAGAATCCTTTTTGGGAAGTAGGCTTGTGACAATATTGCTCTGGTTACTAGTGTCAGGCGGTAGAGGGTTAATTATTAGTCCCAACGTGGAACAAATTGTCGCTCTATAGGTGCGCCCATTACTAAGATATACGTTCAACTATTTATACAAAGTAAACAATCGCGATACTAGTTAATTGTACTGGATATATCTTTTAATTCATTGATTTTCATTGAGTTTTTATCCGAGTGAAGGGCAAGTACACTTTCCTGTGACTATTTTCTACTCATACGTAATAAAATAATTTAACACACATTCCTACTTGTGTGCACATATAGTTTCACCAGCAAGAAAAATATCTGTTAGAATCACGGATTTTAAATAGTTCACCATATAATTTAATTTAAACATAGTAAATGAGAAAGTTCGTGCAAAATTGCTGCTCAAAAGTTTGATCAATGGAAAATTAGTCATACAGAAATCAATATTTACTCTGAAAACCCATCGTTGTTGTGGGTTTTTTAACTGCTAGCGATTGAACCTAAACAAACGGAGCCAATATTGAGAATTTTTTTAAGCAGCACAGGCCAATAGCATTGATCTTCTCCTAGAAACTTGGCTTCAAAGAATCGTACCAAGTTTTTGAGCTTCTATTTAGTAAAATTTAAATCATTCGTAGACGACATTTGAGAAATTAAGGAAATTACTTTCAGAAATGAATACGAGATGTTCCATAAATGAAAATACATTAATTTATTTTCTTAATTTAAATGTGATAATGATTTTAACTATTGTTCCTAATAAATACGAAGCAGAGGCTCAGAATTCCAATTACATCTTATCATCGGCTATCAGAAAATTTAATTTGCTCCATGTGTCTAAACTGCAACATAGAGTTAAGAATAAGGTATGACTGGCGATAGAAAAAATATTTCATGATTTTGCAAAATATAATAACTATATGAAATTCGTTTGCCTCAAATCAGACTCGCCAGTAGACACAGAGTATTCTTTCTAGTTTATATAAATCACATATCATCTGCTCTCACAATAAGTTGATTCTAATCATAATGTTTCTTAACCAGCGCAACTTAATCGATAGTTTTACAATTTACTAATGGTAGTATTTTATCTGTCTCACAATTAGTTGATTCTAATCAGGATGTTATTTAAACCAGCGCAACTTAATCGATCGTTCCACAATTCCCTAATGAGTAGTATTTTGTCTGGCCAATCTCTTCTTGCCGCCCTGCACGATGTGATCGACGAGCTGGTTCTTGGCCACCTATCACAGCCTCAGTAAGGCCACTTCCAAATTCTAATCAGAGTGGTTTTTAAACCAGCGCCACTTAATCGATAGTTTCACAATTCCCTAATGGGTAGTATTTTGTCTGGCCAATCTCTTCTTGCCGCCCTGCACGATGTGATCGACGAGCTGGTTCTTGGCCACCTCGTCGGAGAGCGTCACCGCCACGGCGGACCGGCATTTCGTGAACTCGTTGTGCCCCGCGTACACGACCGTGTGCGTGCCGTCGTTGAAGCCGTGCACGGCGCCGATCATATGCAGCCGATGAAGAGCCAGCTTGCGGCCATCACCTTTCAAACCTGGTCAGCGAATAAAATAATACCTAAATATTTTAAATCAATCAGTCATTACGTACTGTGAACATGAACTTTTCTTCTAAGTTCCTGATATTGACTTGGGTTCTAAACCAATTTGAGTGAAGAAAATATTAGTGGCATCCTTAAAAAATTTAAAAATTAAGATGAGGCTTGGTCAGCCAAAGTTTATTTATTTATCAAAATAAACCACAGTTCCATAATTTAAGCAGTAAATTAAAATATTTTATGATGGTATGATGATAGAAAAAAGATGGTATAAAAAAGATCTCAATCAAAAGCACCTACTCGGAATCATGAGAAGGACGTTATCGGTGTCAAGGAAGATCCTCACTGGCGCATTCAGGTCTTTTTCTTCGCGCTTCCCAACTTCCTGGAAAATAAGTATAGATATTAATTTCCTTACAAAAAATCACAAAAGATATAGAAATCTCAGATGCGACTTCAAAAAATTTGAAAGAATTCGAATTCGTGTTTAAGGTTCGTCAAGTGAAATCTTGATTTAACGAACATGATTGACTACATTATTGTGCAGGAAAATATTAACGTCAAATGGAGCGTTTGAGAATTTGATGGTAAGCCCGTCAGTAAATAACGATGAACAACGAATGTGAGGCAGCGAAGTGAGACAAATAAGACGATTTAATGTGAGGCAGCGAAGGGAGACAAATAAGACGATTTAATGTGAGGCAGCGAAGGGAGACAAATAAGAAAACTTAATGTGAGGCAGCAAAGGGAGACAAATAAGAAAACTTAATGTGAGGCAGCGAAGGGAGACAAATAAGACGATTTAATGTGAGGCAGCGAAGGGAGACAAATAAGACGATTTAATGTGAGGCAGCGAAAGGAGACAAATAAGAAAACTTAATGTGAGGCAGCGAAGGGAGACAAATAAGAAAACTTAATGTGAGGCAGCGAAGGGAGACAAATAAGAAAACTTAATGTGAGGCAGCGAAGGGAGACAAATAAAACGACTTCCCTTTCAGTCCGTCCGAAGGATCACTTAAAGTATTCACCGCATTGACAGACGATCGTTAAATGTAAGAAGCCTATCATTGCAAATGCGTTTAGAATATAGCTCACATAAATATAATAGGAGTTTACTTTTCTCGCTTTTTCTGAGGATTATATTGCTTCTGTCTAAAAATTAGAAGAGAAAAGCTTGTATTCTTCAGGTATATGTATATAGCGCATTTCAGTCCTGGGTTGAGATAGTTTATCGATAATTTCCTGAGACAAGTTACTTTACAAATTTGATGCAGGACATTCAGAAGTGCTGTTGGAAACCGTTTACCTCGCCCAGTAGTAATCTTATTTAGACGTGAAAGGACGAAGAATATATAATAACACCATTTAAGACCCTCTGGAAAAAATAGTCAAGCAAAATTGAATAATTTTGTTTGTGTGTCATGTTAAAATTATGGAAGAAAAGTGGCAGAAAAATTACTTGTGTTAGAACACCATAAAACGGTTGGAAAGAACGTTTTGACACTCTAACGCTGTATGTCACTCTCCGGGAACATACAATTACACGTAAACTATTGAGTATAGCAACCTGACGACGTTTGTACGCAACAGAGAACATATTATAGTTGGACGTGGCGGCAACCATCAGTGCAAGTCATTTTGCGCTCACTAGAACGCGTCCTTTTCGGCTAGGCTTGTGTGACAATATTGCTCCGGTTACTCACGTTCGGCGGTAGAGGGTTAAACGTCGTAAAATAAATTTCTTCACGCCTTTGTTAGCAAATTATAGTTCCAACTTTCGACTATCGTTATAACTGAGTACTCACAATTCCATCACATATTACGTAGCTCTTTGAACCCTGGATGATGGCGAGACACATCAGAGATAACTTCAATTTCTTATCATTTGTGATGCCCTTGAGTGAGGTGTTCACCGCAACAGTGCCGAGAAACGTTCCACACAAAATCGGAACATCCTGTAAAATGATTCAAGAATGTTTTATATTCGTCCAAATATTTCTCATGATTTGAACGAAATAGTCCAGTAATATTGATATCTCATTATGAATATTATTGATAATTAATATTCATTCATAAATCTATTTAATTATTTGAAAGAAATCATTTAAGACTATGAATTGTCGAAAACAAGGCAAGTATGATAATCATTAAATTAAAAGTTATAATGACTCCGTTTCCAATTTATCCTTGTTTGATTTATGGAGTGGTAACAAATAAAATGCACTGTTTCGTTAACTAGTAAGTTTGCCGACATAAATGGCTCATCAAGTCAACACTTATCTCATATATTAAGTGTAAACAAGACTCACAGCGGTCTGAAGTAAATATTTTCAGCATTAAACCAGTGTTAGGAATAATTTCGATTCGTATTAACACTTTTTAGAGCTCGATTTTCCCACTTTACTCGTAACACTACTTTCAATGAAAAGTATATTCATACATAGGGTGCACCTAAACCAAAATTTTACTCCATCAACGTCTTCTTGGACAATTTTTCTTCAATATACTCGTAGTAGAATTTGATAGAATTCACGATTATTTGTGATATACGTTCCAAAGTTTAAGAAAAACGAGCCCAGGCATTCAGCACTTGAGCCCCAGTCACACACGACGTGAAATGCCACATGCGTCAAAAAACACGCAGCGGTATTTCACGTCGAACCTCAGCGGACGAACGTAATCTTCACTGCTATTCACACACGACGGCTTTCAACGCAGCGTCAAATTTGACGCATGCTGCATGCGTGTGTTCGTCCAAAACTGCTGCGGTATTTGCCGAAACAGTTTAGCTTGCAATGGTATTCAATGTAACCTTTCACACTGTGCGACTTTTTTACAAGTGTTGTTTTTAAGCTGATGGAATCTGTTGTGAAGGATAGGATTATCGATCACTTGACTGCTCACCATCTCATATCAGATTGTCAACATGGTTTTATTGCCGGCAGATCCTGCACCACTAACTTATTATCTACATTGAACGATTGGACTCGCCTGCTGGACGAAAGGGAGCCAGTGGATGCATTGTACCTCGATTTTGCCAAAGCATTTGACAGTGTTCCGCATGAGCGGCTGTTGCGTAAAGTGAAGTCCTTGGGGATTGACGGAAACGTACTCCAATGGATCAGAGATTTTCTAGTAGGTAGACGACAACGTGTCAGTATTAACGGAAAAAGAATCGGCGACAGGCCACATCAGGCCTACACTTCAGAGCCGACATCACTATGTTATGTTATGTTATGTTTTGACGCAGCGGTTTTGACGCACATCTAGTCTGGTACAGACAGCAGGTAGTCTGGTCCAGACAACAATTCGTCGAAACTTTCTGCTGAAGTACTGAAATAATTAAATAATTTGGCTGCATCTCCTCTTAATTTTTCAAATAGTGTGGCAAATTCTCTTTCTTGGGGTTATATATGTACTATATGCTGAACCCTGCACCGACTTATTTTCCTCCTTTGCTGTCTTCTATGCAGTAAGTACAACAGGAGAGCCTTCTTTTCTTTACTTAGAGAAGACATTTATATAGAGCTTACAAAAACTAATCACCACTTATGGAGAACAGCACTGCAATAAAGTGCAATGCTGAGAGATTCAAGCGTAAAAAGCCGCCTTTTGTGAATGATTGTACAGTAAATACCCTGGCGTTTTTTTGCCGCATGTGGTATTTGCCGTCCTGTGTGAATGATAACGCGGCAAATACCGCTGTGTGTTTTTCGATGCATGCGGCATTTCACGTCGTGTGTGAAAGAGGCTTTAGGTTTGGTTGGAAAAATTAGGTAACATATCTGATGAAACGCATTCCGCTGAAGCAAGACATCTCCAGTTTAACTGACAATTGAATTGAAAAGAAAAAGAAGCAGAACCACATTTTTTGCTTGAAAATAATTATTTAGAGCTTATTTCCGCAAATCGTGACACATTTTACTTATGGTTGAGCTAGCTGCTAGTATAATGCTGACCCATGGTTGAGAAGCTCATTTTTGCGGATGTAGTGTGTTGCTTGCCTGTGACGTCACTGATCTCAGTGACGTCACAGGCATTAACCAATCACCGAAAGGCGATCAAACTAGTCAACCAATCCGTCATGGGAATGACAGGATTGTTTACGTTTCTCGATCTCAGTTACGTAACAAGAAAGCTGAACTGCATGACGGAAATCCTCGTGGGTCAACCTCATATAGTTCAACCATGCGTTTTACTCACTGTCGGGACAGTGATGGTGACCGGGATGGTGCGTGGTGACGCTATCAAGGTAGCCATGTCCACCACGCCCGGCAGCGCGTCGAGGCTGCGCCGCGGTGACACTTGGTCCTTGATGGCCGGCGCGCTGGCGGCGTTCACAGCAACATCCACAGAGGCAGCGGCTGCCAACTTAAGTTTAAGTTGTCGTAAACTTTCTTCGTTGCGCAACTCAATTTCGTCCTGAGTAGATAAATAAAGTAAATACCTTATTTTCAATAAAATTTCATTGAATTATAGAAATATTAATGAATAAAAAATTGTCTGCGTTTTCTAGATTTCAAGTTTTAAAATCCCGCATTTTGAATTGAATAAAATAAATACCTGATACTCAATCTAACTTCATTGAATTATAGAAATATTAATGAATAAAAAATTGTCTGCGTTTTCTAGATTCCAAGTTTTAAATTCCCGCATCTCAAATCAAAGAAAAATACCTGCAATGCAAGAAATATGAAAGCAAACGCACCACGCTCTCATTTTGCGTCGATGAAGTGGTCGCGAGTGCAGATCTTGTCGGCTTAGCAGGAGGAAACACAGGTTTCGATTCGCGATTAATAACCTGAATGATGAATAAAGTTAGGCAAGATATATGTAAGTACTGCAATATGATAAATACTTCATAAAGATCAAACTAGAACTTTTAAATCCACTCTTTTTGTGTAAGTTACTGTACATTAAAAAATATTAATAGTAGTGTCTCCAGTGACAGGCCAAATCTGGTTTGACGCCGATTCTAGACACCGCAGAATTATCTAGAGGCTCGTTAATTTCAACGCAAATCTCGCTGTTTTCAACCACCCGTAATCCCCCACCGAATTTGAACAGAAAATTTATAGAAAGCAGGGATCGAACACTCAACTCATCGCTACAATCTTAATTGTGGCTTTGAACTCCGCCACCCAGATGTGTGCCTGCAGAGCTGGGCAGCGCTACTTTGAAATGTAGCTGCCGCTACCGCTACCGCTATATGCTCTAAAAGTAGCGGGCGCTACTGCTACCGCTACAATTGCTTAAATGTAGTGCCGCTACCGCTACCGCTATATGCTCTAAAAGTAGCGGGCGCTACTGCTACCGCTACAATTGCTTAAATGTAGTGCCGCTACCGCTACCGCTACTGAAAATGTAGCGGCCGCTAGTAGCTGTCGCTATACATGGAGCGCGCTACTGCCCACTTCTGTGTGCCATCTAGTAAGCACCCATAAACAGGGAGAAAAATGTTTAGAATTTTAAACGAGCCACATTGCAATCGTGATTAGAATTGTCCCTAACTACGAATAACGTTTAATGACAAGTTGACTCCTTATCTAATTTAGTATATTGTTCAGGCCTGGGAGCGATTAATCGTACTAACCCATTAAAAAATCTTTTGTAGATTGTAAACGCTCGCTGTTTTGTCATGAGAAGTGAGTACGTATTTTAGAGATAAATTTGCTCCTATGAGATGCGGCAGCGTAATCTGACAGATGTGATACTCATCACACCGGTTGCTAGCATCTGAACATTTTAGTGTCACTATCAGTCTTACAGTCTTCTCATAAAACCTCTCAATCCCACCAGCATGCGAAAATCCTTACCGAATGGAAAAATGTAATTGTCGCCTTAGAAACGCACTAATGTACTGTGGACAATGAGCAGAAATATACTGTAACTGCTATACTCTCAATCTGTACAGAATAAAATATATAAACTGTCGCACTTTCTAAAATACGATTGAAAGAAATCAATTTATACTATTAATTTCCACTTTAAACGGTATGATAAAAATAAAAACGACTTTGGAAGGTGGTTGAAAAGGTAAAAGTACCTTTTCTCGACGAACTAACTGTATCCAAACCCGAGATAGCAGTACGTTGCTCACATTGTTCAGAGCCAACCTGTCTTTATGTTCCTGTATTATGCATGATTACAGAGTATGTAGTACACTTATACGTACTAGTGTGGTCTTAATGTTATAAACGGTTAATGTTAATAAACGGCAAAGACTGGAGTGGATATGTGGGTAAGTTCGCAATCAATAACTAATTTTATGCCGACTCACCGGGGGTATGAGATTTGTAGGGTCTCCTGCTGCACCTAAGAATAAATACAACGATTTTAAAAATTTCTTGACTTCATTTATTTATTCTGCCCCGCAGGCAGAAATCCTTTTTAAATTTGAAAGTAGCATATTTGTCCTACTTCAGTCCAATAATTTTAGCCACAATAAATTTTTATTTATAAAAAAGAAGAAAAATCTATCGATAATATGCTCACTCTTGGAAATTTATTTGAAGAACAAATGCTTGCTTCACAAGTAAATAATAAAATGCTTATTATTTAGATAATAAGCATTTTTAGATAATAAGATAATGTTTGCTCATACAAATAACACTATTTTCATATGTCAGAAAAAAAAGTTATCATTTGCTGGACGCAGCGGAGCTTGGCTAATAACGTCGACTGCTCTCAATAACATGAATTTGTCATAAATTTTTCACCCTTACCTTGCTGGATGTCGTCTTCATTCTCATAGAGAGGTCCTATTCTTTTCTCAACAGTGCTCCGGACAAATGGGATGCCCTTCTTGTTCGGAATGAGTCCTGGCAAGATACCTCCTTTCGAGTTCGACTCGAATTGCAGTCTGCTCTTAGCGACATCGAATTGGGATTTTTTGGTTTTCAATTCGGGACCTGCAACAAAACAATCAATATTATTTCATCAGCAAGTAATGTCATAAAAGAATAAATTATTTCACGTGAGCTTTGTTGTTAAACTACAGTCTTATATCTGTTTCTTATATTATGGAGAGACTAAATAGAATAAAGTTAAGAATGATAATCAGGGAAAGGATTGTGTATTTGTTTTCAGGGTCCATGGAAGGTTGAGCTTCATCTCGGACATTGACAATTCGACACTCTTTATGATTAACAACACACCTTAATTAAGATGGTATGTTCAAAATAAGCTTTCCCAAAATTATTTCCTGCATTTTTTATGGTAATTAATGTGCGAAATCATACATTTTACCTATTTTAGTTACGTTTTAGACCAGATGGCAAGAAAACTCAAGGAAAATAATTTCATTCGCAAATATGTGCATCTACACTCAATTTTCCTTATGCTTTAATACGGGAAAATTTAAAATTAAAGTTTTGTAAATGGGAAATGCTTGCTTTTAGTTTCAGTAATATCACTTAATTATATAATAAACTATAACCGGCCAACAAGTTGTTAATAAGCTTTTGTCTTTAAATCTAAAAAATGTAACTCAGTACTCACTGCAGTGAGTGACAGCTAGAGAGCGCATTTTCTCGTCGACGAAAACCTTAGGTCACGAACAGACGGACGGACAGACGGGCAGACAGACAGACGGACGGACGGACATGGCGAGCACAATAGTGCATTTTTTCCATAAACGAGAAAATGCGCTAAAAAGTGCTCTATCAAATCCACTTTTCAAGTTGAGACCATTCCCATTCAAAAAGAACTATTCTGTGGGTAAAAGGTTCCGAAACTTATACCGTATTTCGAGTCTTATCTAAAACTTGTCTTCTTCTGATGTTACTTCCATGTTTGTGTCGATGAGTGAATGGCTCTCTATTTTTAGCGCATTTTCTCATTTATGGAAAAAATGCACTATTGTGCTCGCCATGTCCGTCTGTCTGTCTGTCCGTCCGTGACATCAAGTTTTCGTCGACGAGAAAATGCGCTCTCAGTCACTCATTGCAGTGAGTACTGAGTTATATTTTTTTTAACTATTTTCGATTTATAGTTAGTAAAGACAGTCTTCAATAGGTACATTCTGTATATATACAAACATGCGTACAGTGAGATCAGATATGTACGATGAGCGCTCTTTAGTTATCGCATGTACTTGTAAAAGTCCGGGTCAGATTTGCACGATGTCTCTAAGCAAGTTTTATGGAGATAAAATAAAGTTGTATTCTGCACTCAAGGTCGCCCAAGCGGACCCGGAATTAGATTCTCAGCCATAAAAAATGAGTGGATTTTGGAGTGCATTATTCTTGCAGGATAAACAACTGATTTACAGACATTATTACTTCGCAACAATTTGACAAAATACTGCCAAATTTGTCATCAAAAGTCTTTCCAGTGGAAAATAAGACAATTTAAAGGTGCATCTTGACTCATTTTGAAGCCAGATATTTAACGACGCAAAAAACAGAGGATATTTTCTTTCCAATTTGGATTTATCCGTCCACTAGTTCATCATAAAAAATTAAAGCCAATAATTACCTCTATATTATTTATTCTATTTCATCTATTAGCCATTAATTTTGATCGAAATATTTTAATCTACAGTTACAATCTTTTTCATCTCTTAGTGAAACGCCGGCGTGACCACGTTGGTTAATATATCTTGTAAGAGCTCTAACGGACTCTACAAGAAAAGCGACTCTACTCAACTCTATCTTTTCTACTCAGACTGTTTCTAAACTGTTAGAAAAATTAGCGTTAACGGTATTGCCGGCGTTTAGTGGCCGATCGGCACGTGAAAATAAACACCGTGTCGCCGTTTTTACCCTAATTTAGCACTACAAATCCGTAAAACATCTGATAAAAACGACGAAACGGTTTATTTTCACGGGGCAACCGCGGCCACCAGAACGCCAGTAAGACCGTTTTTTCACCGTTTTTTCTAACATTGTACTCAGACTGTACTCTATCTTCTCTCTGGCTTAGACAATTTTATGACGGATCAACTCGTGCATTGGACCTGATCCTTGCCAGGCTGAATCTGATCTGAATACAATAAAAAATCGATAACAAGAAAAAGAGTTGTTATTATATATGTTACTCAAGGTACGACACAAAACTACCATGCAAAAACAAACAATCACTTATGTTGTGGCATCTGGTACTGGAATGCATTTGAGTAACAGACAACAGAAGGAAAATATAAACCACATATCCGTATGCACAATAACAAACCAGCTTTATTTGCTGTGTAATATTCGAAAAAAAATAACGGGGCGAAAGGCAGCTGGGGTCCATACTTTCAAAACTCGCTAAGTGAACATATAAGTACATACGCTCTATTTTCTTGTCTATGATTGGTGGATTTTGCTTGAAAGGCCGTCAATGATTGGCTGATGAACTTACGATCTCTTAACTGTTTTTAAAAGAGTGGCTTGAAAGGCCGTCAATGATTGGCTGATGAACTTACGATCTCTTAACTTTTTTTGAAAGTATAGGCAGCTGGTCTCTTGGCTGTCCAATCCTTTACTAACAGTCCGAACACTTATATTATATTAAATTATCAATTATGCCTACTACAGTATCATCAATTCACAAGCATCAGCCTAAACTAGCAGGGACATGATTTTGGCACAAGGCCCAAAGTTTATTACCCATTACAGATGGAATTATTGATCGTTAATTTTCAGGTAATTAATTCAATCAATAATTTTTTCCCCTGGATCATTACCTTCAGATTGAATATAAATTGAGATAAAGAGATATAGGTAGGACGTTTTTAAGATCTCTCGTATATTTCAATTGCTAGGAAATTCGAGAAGTAAAAGCATTAGGAAATATTTAATGTGTGGTTCAATCTTTCCAAATTCTGGGCAGGTTCGTCGAATAAATTAATCTAATTTCAGCATCATCGCACTTCAGTTGATGTTTCTTTCTGTCTTTGTATCGTGCGACAACAACTAAAGGTTTGCCTTCTGTTTTCTCGCCAAATAAGACGAGTTTTTACCCTATTAAGGCGAAATATTAAACTGACCCTTTATTTTGTGTTATTAAACTGGCCCTTTATTAGGCTTAAAAATAATTTTATATTCTAAAAACATATAATTAACTTACTTGATGGCTCATTACCTTGCGGATCTCGTGACTCCATGGTTTCGGTACAATTTTGTGAAGCAAAACGCTGGGAAATAATTTACTGCCGTTCAACGGTAACCGTATACAGGTCAACTGAGCGAGTGTACTCTCTAATTTATCTTTTGATCCCTACTTTATCTGAATGAAAATTGAAAGCTCAGAATCATCAAAACCTAAATTTATAATGAGGAAAATAATGCAACTAAAGTCTGTCAATTCTGTAAATATTTGTATACCTATTAACCCAATTTGTTTATTACTGGGAAATGACGCTGAAATTAAACTTTGAAATTTTAGAGTGCAAGACGTATATTAGCAATAAAATATTTCTGCCGATTTATCCAATATTTTAAATGTTTCAAGATATTCGTCTCAAATGAGTTATTTCTCTAATTTCTTTTATTTTTTAGGAGCTAGAATTATCTAGACGTCATTTAGATGCACAAAACTTGAATATAACGAAATTTTTAACTCTAACATGCTTTAGACTACTTGTCGATGTAGAAGTGTAAAATTTGGTTAATGAGAGAAATGAAAAATTATAACAGTAACTGTTCATCTATCATATTCTTAATTGTTTATTAATTTTTATCTATAATGCAACTACATTTAAATATACTCCTAAAATTCTGCACATGAAAATAAGTTGGAGCATCGTCCTCTCATGTGAAAAATAAACAAACCTCTGAGTGACCTAATGATTTTCAATTTAATTTTTAACCTCTGTAATGCGCCAATGCGATCTAAATTTGTAAGGCCGAAATAAAATTTTTAGCTGGCACTAAAGGGAACGACAATTTTAGATAAATAAGAGAACGACAATAGCTGCGGACAGCCAAACTCGAGCTGATAGCCTGACAACAGCGAGCAGAACAATGAAGCTGTGTTAGTTAATAAGCAAAAGGCGCGTTAGTTTATAATTCAAGGACATACTTTACGATGCCGATTTGATGATCCCCCGATTAGATAGAGAGAAAAGGTCTGACTTCCCTAAATAAATTGATAATCTCAATATGAAGCGTATAAACATTGATGCGTATTACTGTGTAATTTATATATATTGTGTAATTTATTTTAATGAATTAATCCCAGCTTTGTGCGCCAGTTTCTGGTCAGAATCGGCAAGGAGGCCGGGCGGTTAAGCACAGCAGAATTGTAGCAGTGAGTTGCGAGTTCGAGACCGCAACAAGCTGTGAATGTTCTGCGATGTTAAGAATCGGCGACAGGCCTACGGCCTAATAAACGCTGAAACCGCTATTATTATTATTATTATTATTATTATTATTATTATTAATATTCAGAGATGTTTATTTGAGCGATAAAATATTCGAATTTGCCTGCTGCACAAAGCACATCCTATGTCGTTAGCGAAAGCCGAAGTGAGTCATTCAGAAATTTATTCAACAAGAACGCAACATACTGAAACAAAATCACACAACAATATATACAGTAACACGACCACGTGGAGAGTATATATTCATATATGAATACAGTATCTTACGCATACATAAACTAATTACAAAATACTCACAAGGAGAACAGTAGTTTTAGGTCTTGAACGTACAAGAGTTGAGCCAATTTTAAAAATAGTCATTAATTCTAGAGGGAAACTTAATAGAACAAACTACATGTAGTACGGAATACAATGTACACGTGAGCGCTACATCAGAAATTTCACAACGTCCCAAACGGTGTTACCAAAGACGCAGTAAAACAATAAACTTACCATACATATTGGTGTTTTATGTTTGTGAGCTGAAACTGTGTAATTCACCAAAAAAGTATAAAATATTCCCGTTGTTGTCCCATTTTGTTATTAAAGGAATATCATGATGTAATCCAATGTTCAATCAGAATTATTAGAACTCGTCCCGGGGCCATACTTTCAAAACTCGCTAAGTGAACGTAAGTACTTACGCTCTATTTCCTTGTCTATGATTGGTGAATTTGGCTTGAAAGGCCGTCAATGATTGGCTGATGAACTTACGATCACTTAACTTTTTTTGAAAGTATGGGCCCAGAATCCGTTCATTGAAGCTGCGTAAAATTATTGGAAAAATTGGGAAACAAAATCTGTCTAAAATACATACTAAAATTATAAACTATCCAAAGATGTTCCACATAATGTTTAGGTAAGATTTGCAGTGCATACTTTTTCTGTTTTAATGACACTCAAATGAATATTGTGCCTGAAACACATTTGCCTCAAACATAACATATATAGTGATGTCGGCGCTGATGTGTAGGCCTGATGTGGCCTGTCGCCGATTCTTTTCCTTTTCGTGCCTTGTTCATAGATCTAAAATCGTGTCATTTGACCGGATCTTTTCATGACTGGCGATAGTTTGAAGTAGCTACTAGACTTCCACTCAAGCAGAACAATTAATGACAGCTGCGTTAGTTAAAAAGCAATAATTCAAGAACATACTTTATAATTCAAGGTCATACTTTACGATGCCGATTTGATGATACCCCGATTAGATTAGAGGAAAGGTCGGACTTGCCTAAATAAATTGATAATATCCGTTTACAAATTATAAACACGGATGCGTAGGTTATTTCAAGGATAATATTGTGATAAGCATTTTTCGAAGCGGTCAAGTGCTCGTATTTTCCTGATAGATGCACCGTGCAAAAGCATTTCCAATTTGGTATTTCAATAGGAAATATAAAACCAAAGAAAATTCCACAGAAATTCATAGTATCTTTAAAGATAACGTTTCGGAGTCCAGCACCATCGTCAGTTCGAAGATTCTAAAATGCTGATAAAGTTACGAGTTAGTAGAATTAAAAAAAAAACGAAATAAAAACCAAAATTTACAAATAAAGGTCTTCTGAGAGAGTCCCAAGAGTCCCAGTTGAATTTACAATTCAAACTGGGACTCTGTTTAAAAATATACAGATTCTAAACTACGGAATTCTGGTGTACCGGAAGTTGAAGCTAAGACAGCTTAAAGTCACTGTCAGGTACAGAGACATCACACTGCTGGGCGTGAATGTGCTCAGCCGAATGAGTGGGTCGCAATAGTAACTCCACAGTATAAGACGCTGTAAAACACAGCAAACTCTAATAATAGCGGTTTCAGCGTTTATTAGGCCGTAGGCCTGTTGCCGATTCCTAACATCGCAGAACATTCACAGCATTGTGCGGTCTCGAACTCGCAACTCACTGCTACAATTCTGCTGTGCTTAACCGCCCGGCCTCCTCGCCGATTCTGACCAGACACTGTCGCAGGTAGCTGGGATCGAACCCGCGCCTCTCTGCGCCAATCTTGGTACTCTGAACTTTAACCACTGGGCCACCCTGCGAACATATGGTTGTGTTTCTTGTTTGTGAGTAGTAATTGTGCAGTTTACCTGAAACTTTGTATAAAATATTCCCATTGGTGCCCAATTTCACTATTCAAGATATGGTTTGATATAAATCAAAGTGCACTCCAGTGTTATCAAAACTCATTTCGATCGAATCCGTTTATTGCACCTGTACGTGTTAAATAAATTCGTAAATTTTAGAAATATAGTCTGTCTAAAATTACTTCTAAAGTAATTTTAAAATAAGCAAATTATTTTCATCAAAATATTTAGATCAGTCATAAAATGCAAGAGAATTGCTCGTTACAACAACACTGAAACGAATGTAGTATCAGAAGTTCAAAACTAATTTTTTAAACTGATTTTTAGTGAATTTTTTGCCCTAAGGTATAAAGTAAACAAATATTTGTTAGCAGTAAATCGTTTTATCTCTCATGAATCCGGAGATTTGCTCAGAATTTAAAATTAGTCTACAAATGTGCACATCTAACTCAACCTACAGTAAAACATACTTATAATGAAATCTTTAGAGGTTATTAAAATTCATATATTCATATAAATTTATTGAGCTTGTTGATTGATAAGATTGAAGAGATTATTCGCTAAACGTTTTGGAAAGTACTGCAACTATCAAATAGATTAATTGAAGGTCACTGTGAATCTTGAACTTGATGATACAGAAATATTGTTTTGGTTATCAAACCCAATTGAAAATCGCGGTCAAGCAGAGGGGTTTAAAATTTGAAGTTTTCGAACAATAACATGTGGCATATGGTCGATTAATCGATTCATATTGTACTGTTTTTTGCCCTTATTTTTAAAGGGTTGCCCTTATTAAAAAGGGTTGCCCTTATTTTTAGCGCATTTTCTCATTTATGAAAAAAATGCACTATTGTGCTCGCCATTTCCGTCTGACCGTCCGTCTGTCTGTCCGTCCGTGACTTCACGTTTTCGTCGACGGGAAAATGCGCTCTCTGTCACTCACTGCAGTGAGTACTGAGTTGTATTTTTTTATCACGTGTGTTTGCTGTACTCGGAATAAATCTACAAATAAAAAAACTTTAATAACTGTTGCGTCCACCAATGCGGAAAACATCTGACGTTCAGATATTAAGAGCCTCTGCTCAAGTCTAGGACAGGATTATGTGCTTGTAAGCGAAGGCTTCGGTTGTCATATAGCACTTTCTATCTTATATGCATTTACTATCTGATTTCAATTATAATTTTATCATTTGGTTGGTTTAATTAATCATATGATAGTGAAACCCAGCGAAAATTGTGAGACGATTCCGGCGGAGCAAGGGCTTAGCTGAGCCTGTCGCGCTTTAGCGGAATGGAGCGGTGAAATAATAACCGAAATAATAATAACTGCTACAATTCTGCTTTGCTTAACCGCCCGGCCTCCTTGCCGATTCTGACCAGAAACTGGCGCACAGAGGGGGGGGGGTCGAACTCTCACCTCTCTGCTCTAATAGAATAGAATAGAAGTGTCGGCACTGAAGAAACAGGCCCATGGCCTGTTGCCGATTCTTGAATTTTTCGTGACTTGATTCACAATTAGGGATCAGCCCTTTGGAACCCGATCTTTCCATAGCTGACGATTGATTGGGATAGCTGCTGGACTTATTGCCTGGTCCGTAATTTGTTCATTTTTATTTATTAATCCTCTGAACTGTAACCACTGGGCCACCCTGCCCAGTTGTTTAGGCCGTGGGAGGGGAGGGATTGAGAGAGGGAGGCGGGTAAAAGTTGGAGGCAGGGCAGGGGTGGGAACTATGTTCTTTATCCAGTTCAAGTGACATAATATGTTATTTCTGGTCAATTTCTGCTTCCAGTTATAATTATTACACCACGTCATTATTTTAATACTTTGAAATACATAAGTGTTTCATTTGTTTTCCCAGTTTGAACACTTCCGCAAAGAAAAACGTTAACTCACGACTATGCTTTAATTATGTTTAGTAAATATAGATCGGTCCTTCCGTAAAATTATTGCATTTAAATGAACATAAAATTACCAAGTAGGGCTGAAAAATATTTTAGGATGGTTGGATCCCACCTAAACTAAGCTTAATGACGCCGAAGTGTGGGAGTTGTCGAGTTTGTTTCACTCTGTTCACGAAAGCACGCGCCACGTTTATCTCCGTTATCAGTTCGTTTTCACGACAAAGTGCACTTGGGTACTAAAAATACTACAAGCTGAGAAACACACAGCTAAGGTCGATAATACACTCGCTGACCTTTACAAGATAACGAGTTTCGTAAGCGCGCTATCATCGGTTCAAGCAGTGTCACTTCGCAACCGCCTTGTGCGCTATCTGTCAGGACGCGACGTTCTTTCTTTCTAATTTATTCTTATAGGAGCACTGGAAACTAGTCCATAAAGCCCCTTGCCTAAACTGGGTTTAATTGGTACCTAACAGTCTAACAGCTCTGAAAGTGAAAACCAGTAAAACGTGGTAAAGGGAAAGCGTAAATTCCAGGACGCGACGTTGGACGCGACGTCAACATTGAGTTTGAAACGCCGGATCTAGAGAGGAGTATCCAAGAATTATCTACGTACTAGGCTCCCGGGCCAGATGGGGTTCCTGCAGTATTACTGAAAAAATGTGTCGGAGCACTAAAGGTCCCTCTGACTTTGCTCTGGAAAACATCATTTAGAAAAGGAAATGTTCCAAGTGACCTAAAAAACATCGCGCTCGATTGTGATTCCCATCGCTGGTCATGGTCATCGAGCATTGATAGTTTCTGTCCTTGAATTAATTAGCTTGACGGAATTTTTTTAGTCAAAGTGTATGAAACTAGAATATTCTTATCAAAAAATTGCCTTGATTTTCCACGAATGATTTTTCATGAACTCTAAAGAATTGAGTGGGATTCCAGTGAAAAATCATGAATTCAACTTTAACGATACATGTATCATTATCAGTATACTGAATAAAAGCCTATGTGAACTTTTCTTGCGTTTAGAAACAGTGATGCTATGCTTAAGCAGGCGTTTTTTGCATTATGAACGGAGAATGTTGTGGGGCGCCAGCCTGTTGACCGAGAATGTCGTTCTTGGCTAGGGCTACCAGGCTGCAGCAGCGAGGTACCTCAGTTCTACTCTCGCCATACAGTCAGATTTTGGACATCCTCTTCAACGTCCGTAAACTTTTTTTACGATAAATTTTCATTGATATGAAAGTAATGTCCAATTGTCAGAAAAATTCTATCATTCGCTGCCGGCTAATGGAAGATCTTAATAGCCTTAAAATATTAACCTCGCTTGATTGAAGTGACTGTTTATAGTCTTAAATAATACGAGCAACACATATAATACATGTATGATCAGAAGGCCTGCTGGCGGTTGGTGATGCAGCATACAATTGTATATGTCAGGCGTTGATGGAGCGTCACACGAGTAGTTAACGCGCACCGCTCGCTTCTTCTTTCTGGAGGTGACATGGTGACATGTCACTTCTTCATGGTGACATCTGAAGACCGTGCGCCCATTCACTTTCCCCATTCGTTACCAATCAGAAAGATTTGAAAGAAAATCGATGCAATCATATTTAATGGATGTATAGGTCTAAAGCAGGTATATTTTGTGTGTGTGGGTATTCATAGAATTGTCAGTTAATTACGTGAAAATCTGAATGTACATTTTTGAATTTGCAGATATGAATCCTCGGCAAAATTAAACTGTCGGTCCTGAGAACAAGAGCATACTTAACTTGCCTGCAGTCTTCCTCTCCTCTTATCATTGCAGTGTAGAGAACGCTCTGAGTCATGATCTCCATAACTAAATTGATATCAAAAATAAATTTTAAATTGAAAATATAATGAATCGCGCCCATATGCCGACGAAATTCAAACACGATTTGAGATAGTTGTTAAAGGCTAGTCAATGATCACCTGTTGATGATGGTTATCAAAGTATAAGCAATTATTGAAAGAATATTCCTGCACTTTATTAGGAACAAAGATGCCCAAAGGAAATACAAAAAATCTTTGGCTTGAATCAAACGTCATCAATAATATTGGTTGAGTTGGTTTGAATTTCTTTCCGCTCTTTAAGTGCAATCGCGTCCAGCGCATAGTTTGCATATGATAAGTCGAAACCATGGTTGAACCAGTAGATATATAGTTCAACCATGAGTCGAAAGACCTGAAGTGCATCACAGAAAGATATAAGATGAATGTAAAGAATGTTGTCTTATACAATAGCTTTTTTCGTACACTTCTGCGCAATACATATTGAACCAAAGGCAGGACTGAAAGCTTATCATGGAAGTATAGCACAGTATAGACAGTAGTCTACATAGCATCGAATGTAGAGCAATATTACGCCGGACACCCAGTATTGACCATCACGAGTAGGTCTCGGCCGGCACAAACTTTTCGAATCAATAATCATTCAAATCATACTAGAAATTAGTTGCTTTTAAATCTCATCATGTCTAATAAAGAACACGTGATAATCAACGGAATATAAAAGTGGTCGTTGCAGAGAACTTGGCCGCCCTCACGGGGGAGGCCGCCCACCAGGTACGTGTATTTAAAAATTTTTCTCTTCTTAATTATTTTTGTTGTTGTAATTAGTTGAGTTATGTCGATGTTGATCCACTCATTTTTTTCTTGTTTCAAATTTCACCTGTGTTCCATCGTACTCGGTTATCTTGCATTCAATTGTTACCTACGTGATTTTGAAATCAGTGAAGACATTTCTTTTTCAGCTTATTAATTCTGCTTATTTTTATTATTTTTTAATTAATTCAGCACGCATAACAGTTAAGCTGATGAGTTGTTTAGTGCCACTCGTGAGCTCGAGCACTGAGCTTCGGTTTTCCGATTGACGTCTCGTGTAGCTCTGGGCCTATAATTTCAAAAAACAAAAAAAGTTAAGAGATCGTAAGTTCATCAGCCAATCATTGACGGCCTTTCAAGCAAAATCCACCAATCATAGACAAGAAAATAGAGCGTAAGTACTTACGTTCACTATACTTTCAAAAAAAGTTATGAGATCGTAAGTTCATCAGCCAATCATTGACGGCCTTTCAAGCAAAATCCACCAATCATGGACAAGAAAATAGAGCGTGAGTACTTACGTTCACTTAGCGAGTTTTAAAAGAATGGCCCCAGAGATGGCAAAACCGCAGTGCCGACATGGATCTGATTAAACGCCATCATTAGCGTTGAAAATCCTCTCAATAAAATGAACTCAACTATTTTTACGTTACTGTTTTCATGAAAAGTGAAGGAAAATCGCCTTATTGAATTTTAAAACAAAGGTAGATTCTTATAAAATTCGTTTTTAAGCACGTAAAATTAGAGTTGATTCGTCATATAATATTCACCATTATTGTAAGGGTCTCGGCCACTCTAAACATCATGTTTGTAATTTATTAAGCGAAGCTGCAATTATACGGAACATTACATTCCTCGTCATTTCTTCTCTCCCAGTTCTAACTTCGAATGTTTCATCATGCATTGCATGAAATGGTCACGGCGCGAAGCTCGCTCATATTTCTCAGTCCACCGATGCAATATAAATTGCAAACGAACCAATTAAAACGCATTATCGTATACATTGGTTTAGGTAAACGAGGATTTGCTAATTAATGAGACGGGAAATTGATAAAAAAATTCAAAACGTATGCTAACATAGGACGTACCGCAGCAGATTGACAGTTGGAAAATTTTAAGGCAAGCAATATAATTATTCTAGATAACATCTACTAGGTAATCCCCTAGGTTAGGGAAAGATTAGCGATTTACTATGTAATTACGGCAATAGGCTTTTGCTATTCAGAAATCGATTCGTATATTCCATAAAATGGCTAACTACCGTAATCCGTATAAAACATTACAGAGCATGAAAAGTTTGTAATATAACTGCGAGCGAAACGAGTATCGTTTAATACTCTTTGCGACGGACAGAATTTAAATTAGTCTAGAATGAAAAATGGTTAGAAGACACTGCTTCTTAAAGTAGGTTTGTAAAATTAATTAGGTTGGAGGGTTCCAAGATATTTTGCTTTGAATCCCAATGTATACAGCTAAACTTTGAAATCATAACTTCAATTCGGAAAAAAGTAAAATCAACCTTTTATATAATATTATAACAATGACTGATTTTATATCACGATATAATAATAACTTGTATTAGTAATTTGAGACGCATAACATTGAAATAGAATGGAAATCAGTGACTAGTCACCAGTGTGGTGGTCACAATAAGTGGTTACCAGATATCTCCTTCTTCCCAGAGTGCATTTGAAGATTTTTGCGAGTTATAAGACTTTTTAGGTAGGATTCGAACATTAGAATGCGAGCTTTCGAATGGAACTTTTATTATGATTATTCGACGTTTCGAACAAGCAATATACATTATCAAGTAAATGAAGAATTGGTAATAAAAAATACGCTCTGGTCTTGAACAAAAAGTGCATCAAAGGACCACTTCTCCCCACCTATCTCAATATTTCACGTTGTTATACAATTCAATTCTGATGGGAATTAATTGCACACACAAATCCAGACAAGGACTCTCACAATTTCAGCAATCACGATCTCACTTTCGTTTCTTTTTATTTTTGAAGAAAAAATGACAAACATATTAATTAGAAGACAGAATTCATCCTTAGTCAAGACTAAAACACTAACCACCTTCCAATTGAGCAGTAGATTAAAATTGAAGCTTCCACGCATTCTATAAATGAAGATTACATGACGCCTCTTTAAATGGAAGAATATGAAGTGGTCACGATCTTACACAATCGTATTGTAATGAAAACTAAGCGATTCAAGAATTCCATTAGTACCAATCATCGTACGTAGTACAATGCAACTACTAAATAAGAGCCAATAAGAAGGCGCAAGTTAAGATAATGGGAACATTTGAAATCGATATGTAAACCAGACGTTCGTGAGCAAAAATGAGGCAAAACTTGCGCGTAAGAAAGCCCAAGCTATCTAAGCTTGATCTCATATAACCTACTGCACGATTGTATTTGAAAAATTATTCTGCACCAGTATTAATTCGTCAATACACATATCGACATGAAATAGCTAGTATTTAAACCAGTGATTGATTAGTAAATTAAAGTTATATGCAGGGAGACGATATACTGTAAAAATTCAGAACAAACTACCAGAACGAACGGGAAACTGGGTGCGGTAGAAAGTACCCATCAGAAAAAACTTAATATAGACACATAGAAAAATTGAAGATTCAAAATACGCAGTGAACTAATATCAATATTTAAGTTCAGATAATTAATAATTGCTAAAAAAATTATTGTCGCCGTTCAAATCAACAGAATTGATAATATTGCCTCTCAACTTCACGCCTACCCTTATTTTTATAAACACATTCTTATATAAGTTGAATAATCCATTCAGTTAATTGAACACTCAAATTCTAATTTTACTAAAAATAAATGAAGTTGTGACATAGAAGTGAAAAATATGAGTTACGCAGGCAGCAAGAATAAATTGTAGCAAAGTTGTGACATAGAAGTGAAAAATATGAGTTACGCAGGCAGCAAGAATAAATTGTATGCAGACAAACCAAGTCAAGTATTCTCACAGACAACCAAAGTCTTGTGTTACATGCAAGAAATATGACAAAAACTGGTCATAGTTTAAGATCCTGTGAGACTCAGGAAAGCTTTTCCACGCACGCTCTTTTTCAGCAACTTCATAACGCTTTCTATGGAAAACACGAAGGGCTCCAAACTTTCCAGAAGATTAATTTTATCAGGATTTTGGAGGATATCATCGGAGAATAGTTCATTATTGGACAGTACAATGTGGTCAGCGCTGGTCCCTTCCACAAACATGGCTTGAGCATCATGAAACCCATTCCCATTGGGAGTTGCAAAGCCAACTGAATGAGACATTTTTTCCCCTACATTCTTTCCCTTACTCTCATGTTTGTAATTAATTCTTTCACTATTCCCCTTATGTTTGTTGCAGATGTTAGTCTTTCCATCACGATATGACAGGGGCAGTTTAGCAGCAGGCAACCCTGCCATGCTGTGCACGACGACTTGCAATGCAAGGCAGTCCTCGATGGCATTATGTGTTGCTGTAGACATGCCCCGAGGGCAGTAGAGTTCTGATAGAACTTCAAGCTTGAAGTTGCTTTGCTTGGGGTTCATTTTTCGGGCCCACGGGAGTGAGTCTGAGAAGCCATAAACTCTGCAAGAATAAAAGGGAAGTTAAGTGAAAAGAAAGCAATCAAGTAATATGAACTGAAATAGTATATTATTATAGTGTGCTTAGTTAATAATACAGATCAGTCAAAAAATCTTTGTTAATTGCTTCAATCACGATGAATATTTAAAATTCTTACTGACAATGTTCAAGTGAAATGTCTTAAATTTATTTGAAAATAATAATGAATCCCAATTTACTATAAGGTCCTATATACGGTACTTGGATCAACAAACTTGAAAAATAGGAAAAATGATGAAGTGGAAATAATGAATAAGGAAGGAAAAATAATGAAGTGAAGCTGCAGCAAATAACTGCTACCTTTACTGAACAATTCAGCAATGATCAGGAAAATTGCAAAAATTGTGAATGGTTAACAGACATTTGTATCCATTGTGTTTTGGGAACAGAAGAAATAGATTTGATTTTCATTACCTATATCTAATGGAAGGATTCAGTACAATGAAGCAGATTTTAGATAGTAGTATAGCGATCATTATCTGAGGCACTAATGTAAGTATTCATTAAAGTCCTCACATGTGATCTCTCTGCATAATTCAGATAATCAAAATTTCATATCCTAAAATTACCCCAAATAAGATGATTCTTTGTATTATGATGATTATGAGAGTACAACCTTCAATTTGTACAAGCAATGCACACAGTTGTACTCACAAGTCTTGGAAGGCATGCAAAAGTTGGCAGTTCCAGAGAGCAAGCAGCAGCCGTGGGGCATCAAAGCTTTTGCTGTTGTGCCCCAAGAGCAGCACAGGCCTGCCCAGCACCCGCAGCCACAACACAAACGCTGCCAGGCACTCAGAGAGACTTGTTGATGGCACACGAGTCCCCTGCACACACATCCATCAGGTGAACTCCACAATTTGCTTTTGGATTGAAGAATTTATGATCAAAATTTTATTTAACATGCAAGATAATATCAGAAACAATACCAAGCTGCGATAATCCAGATAGTTAGATGCAGACAAATATGTTAAGGATTGCAAATGATGCAGACAAAATAAATCAAGATTTTGTCAAATCATTAAATGAGTCATTAGTATGATTCCCACCAACACTAAAATCTAAATTAGTGTTGAGGATTGCTGATTTAAAACTCAAGTGGTGCATAAAATTGTTGAAGCTCATGATGTGTTACCAAAAATAAACACAAACAAATTAATGATCCAAGCCTCATGCAAACTACTATCATCAGAAAATACAATGTCACAGGCATAGTATATAGGCAGTGGAAGCATTGCCTTCAACCCAAATCCAGTACCTAGTAGGTATACCACTGATGCTTGCATTCAAATGTACAAAATTAGATTCAAATTAAGACAAATATATTTTAGACATTTATTTAAGCAGGAAGGAACACTAATCTTGGCATAAGAAGCAAATAAGGAATGATCATGATCCTTTGCCCAATTTCAATTGATGTCATAATTTTGAAACTGATTATTTATATTACAGGTATCTACCTATCTAACAACAAAATAACGAATCCCTAAAACTTGCTGGAATAGGCACTTTATTCTTTGGTTGAGAGCCTTGAAACAAATAATGCCTACAATAAACATAAAAAAATATTCTACAGGGAAACATTTTCTACTTACATTCAAGAAGAGTGCTTCCTTTTGCTTAGTGAGGCCAGTAACTGAACTAGCCATAGGGTCAAAGTCCCCATCAGGCAGGGCATAGGCATTAAAGATAGACTCGGGATTTCCACCATCAAGATCCAAACTTGAGCAAACACAGGCAATCTGAACAATCTCATGTGAATAAGCTGTAAATAAAGAAAAAAATTAAAAACTATTCTTGAATTTCAATCAAACATTTCACCTTTGTAATGCAAATACAAGAAAATTAAATAAAATATTGAAAATAACAGTTAATTTTCACTTACAGAGCATGACTGGTACATACATAGGAAAATAAATGAAGAGAAAATATCAAAATCACAATCTCATTGCATCTATTGATCTATGTAAGACACTCACCAAGTCCTGTAGTTTCCAAATCAAAGTAAACAATCATAGGATTCTGGTCTAATAGAGCCCAGCTGTCCAATTCATTTGAATAATCTTGCTGAGTTTTTATGACTCTTTTCTTTGCTTTCTTTGCAATTCCATTTTTTGGACCATTAGAGCAAGTAGCCTCATTGGACATGGCTTTTATTTTCAATAGAGCACTACTCTTCTTTGGTGCTTTTGCAGACTTGGATTCAAGGAGTAGTGGCGGAATGGATTCTTTCATTTTTGTTCTCTCTGAATGTGCATTTGTAGAAACAACAGTGGAGGCATTTTCATCAACTGTCAAAGTATTTGATGATATTGACTGAGAGGAAGTGGAACATTTTCTAAAGGTTCTCTTGGATTTTACTTCTTTGGAGATAAAAGTATCAGAATTATTTGCAATATAATGAGTGGTTGAAGCATTGGAATAAGGCATTGAGGAATAAGCATTTTTTCCATCCGCAACTGAAGATGGGAAGAAACTTTGGCCAAGCACATTAGTAGAAGGCAGTGAAAGAAGCTCACATCTGCGATTTATATTAAAAGTAGACATTACACAGGAACTGATAGCAGGACATGAAGATTTCTTAACAGGAAGTGGAAGAAGATGTCAAGTCACTCGAGTGTCAATATTATTCTTGTCTCCCATGCCTGAGTCAGTTTTCACAATATGCTGCACATTCTTACTAGTCCACTGCGTGATAGCCATTGCAGTAGCATCTGTGTCTTTAATATCTCTGTGGGAAATTTTTGCAACATCTTGCCTCAATTTGGTTGCAGCAGATAAATTACTTTTTCTGTATCCTCCAGATGCATGCTTTGAAGATGAAAGTCCACTGATCATAATAGAAGTTTGGTTAAATTGGTTTACAGGATGAAATTCTGGTAAGGATTTTACTCCTCCTCTCTGAAGAAGCTGCTCTGGAGGTGCTACTGAAATTACATCAGCCAAACTGTTCGAATGTGTTGAAGAATGCAGTTTTAATTTTGTTAATGTGGGTGCCAAAGTTGTATCTACCTTGTCTAAATTTTCATCCTTTGTGCCACTGAGCTTAAAATTTTTCAGTTCTGTCACATTGTCAGATTTTTCTGTAGTTTTTTCATCAACGGTTTGGTTAATAATTGGCACACAGATGACACTTTTAAAAGATAGAGAGGATTGATTGGAATCAGAAGGTGGAACATGTTGACTGATATGGTCCAAACTAACATTGCAGTTTCTTCCATTAAATTTTAAAAGATAATTAGATATTCGACGTTTGTTTGACATTGTAATGGATTAATGAGCAAAAATCTGTAGAGGAAAATGAAGAAATAACAGGTAAATTTTGACTACCTAATTATTAGCTTTGACTAGAAGCAAGAAATATCTGCAATGCATACTGGTATCTCAACTAAAATCTCACAATTATTAGAGTACTGATTCACATACAACTTAGGTATGTAAGAAAATTAAAATGAGGAAGATTATTTGTTACACAGTTGTGAAGTAGAATTCTCAGTTCAAAGGTGAAGAAAATATTTTATTTACTTCAATAAATTTAGTTTGCAACAACCATCTTGATTGTCAGATAAATTTGCCAACACCGGAATGGAGAAGAGTAAGAATGGTTCTAATAGATTTTGACTATAGAATGAACATCTGAGTATGAGTATATACAAGTAACAAATGTAAATAGTATGATACCTATAAATATAGGTAGTTGTAGTAGTATAGGTAGTTAGTTGTATTAAATTAGCATCAAGAGGAAAAAAATGAGTAGTGACAGCAGACAGCTGGAACAGGAAGAGCCCAATTAAATGCATACTATGATGGACAGATGATCTCTTTTAGATGGACAGTAGAAAAAATATAACTCAGTACTCACTAGTCACTGCAGTGAGTGACAGAGAGCGCATTTTCTCGTCGACAAAAACATGAAGTCATGGATGGATGGACAGGCAGATGGAGATACAGACAGACATGGTGAACAGTCAAACACAATAGTGCATTTTTTTCATAAATGAGAAAATGCACTAAAAACCTCCAAGATCAAGTACCATCAATCTTGCTCAACTAAGGGCAGCTAGATACAGTCATGCTGAAACTAAACTAAAGATTCTTGGCACTGTTGCCATTGGCAAACTTACAAATATTTTGAATAAAGGAAAATTACCTACTCTCTAGTATGGAATATATCTACTTGGCGAGCCGCGACTGAATTTTTCGAGCCGTGGTTTTATGGATTTGCCAGCCGTGATTCCATTTCTACAAGCCGTGATTCTATTTCACCGAGCCATGAATTCCATATCTCGGCCATGAAAAGCCATTTACGAGGTGCACGAGATTTCATACCTACTGAAATTATATGATATTAGAGCTGCGATATTTCAGACAAAAATAGGACTTTTCCAGACTAGCCTACTCTGGATTCTGGACAGACCATGAGTCAGGATGAGTGAAAGCCATACAAGCAGAATCATTTAAAATTACTCTTATTTAAAGTATTTATACATGAACAGTTACCACAGAAAATGTTGATTAATTTTCCACAATTATATACCGGTAATTGAGAATCATGTGCGGCTGATGGGCATTGGGCTGACCTAGCAAACAGCAAGAAAAACACCTCAAAACAATCAAATCATACCCTTAAAAACAGAAGACATAGTACTACCTAGTAATGGCACTCGCCAGTGAGTCGCCACTCAATACATTTGTATTCCCAAATACAACATCATACATGAACTCCACGCCACCCACCATTTAACTCAAAGCCCAGACTAAGCAAATAAATCTGCAAATATTACCCAACTTTACGCACAATGAAGAATTTAAAAAATGAAATTTGTTGCTTGCCTTTAATTTGTACTCTTGTAGCTAATATGCTTGTACTCTTAGTAAAATTCAATTGTACTGCAAAATATTATTTTATTGTGGTATATACTAATACTACTAATAATACTATATCGGATTGAGCATTGAGGCAGACAACTTGACAAGGATCACAACATTTTTCAATGTACTTGATGCAAATCGGCCTGAGTTATAATGAAATCTTCAGTGTTGATTTATGAAGCTTACTTTTGTATTCGAGTAGGTATTAAGCGAATGAATGAACTGATGGCAAATGCTAACTCATTATATTCTTGATTGCATCATAGCCGAAAATTACCATGAAGCAAGCTTGGTATAATTATTATGGCAGATTAACAAAGTTTTGATTGAATTAATATCATCTCGTGACTAATTTCAGTGTCGTGTGAATTTTCGTCAGACAAAGCTATAACAGTTACAAAGTCTCAACAAAGGCTCAAAATCGTCTTGCCGCTAGACATGTTTGTGCTATTGAGTCAATAGACGAAATGACGAAAACAACTCTTAGAATAGAACAATCTACCGTGCTTCTAGTACTGAATCTACTCTGACAGTTAAACATCTAATATTGATAGGGTTTATTATAATGATAGAGATTATCTCAGCTGTCTGAAAACAGTTTTAGTTTTTAGTTACCGATTCGTTACATTCACAGTTAATACACAGTTAATAAAAGCAGTAGGCACACATACAAGACAGCAGGCACGCACACAAGAGAATGGACAAAAATTCGAACCTAACTTCAAATGCGGTGAACGTAAAATTACTTTATTTAACGATGTCTGGAAGTCATATTCGATCCGCGGCCTGGTGGTGCACCGTTAGTCCATTCGAAGCACGGCAGTGGTGGTCTCCGACAGGCGTCCCAAAGCAGCGTTGCCAGATGTTATATTTCTATACCAGATTTGGGTCGCCTGCCGAAGAGTCGAAGACCACCACTGCCCTGGATGTAATGGACCATCATGATTCCTGCCTACCGGAACGTAGCCTTCAACACTTCGAGCCGTCCGTATCTAGGCCGTGGGTCGAACCAGCCCTCGGTTCTAACCGTTGAGGCAGGAGGTTGTTTGTGCTGAGCTCCCGTGACAGTAGTCGGCTTCGGCCGGCTGCTACGTCATCTTTCTGGAACTATCCTCCTCAAACTTTGAAAATGCCGTACTGTCCCGCTCCGAGGCGTTGAGCCGGCGAATGGTACGACCAGCTATAAAGTGAATACTGAAAATGTTATTGTTCCTGTTTCTCTCCTTGTGCATGCCTTCTCATCTACTGCTTCTTCTTGCGCCAAATGCGGTGGCCCTTGCAGCGTATCTGTTGACAGAGAGTACACTGTGCCCAAAATTACTAGGGTTTGTCTCCAGTGTGCTGCTATAACAACAGTTTACACCCCGAACAAGGTCACTGGCATTGATGGTGAGGTTTCCAATTTCAATATGGATAACCTGAGCTGCGTCTTCTACGCGCTAATGAATAGCGATGGTTATGCTGGAAGTCATAGGTCATGCGCTGGATTTTCCTTGAAAGGCTTCAGTAAGAAAGCATTCTACAGTCATGCTTCATACTTGTACAATCAGATGCGCATTTTTTTCGGCATGAAGCAGCGTGAAGTTGTCGAAGCCGTGCGTCAATACTACGTGAATTCTGAAGGTAGAGATGACGACGGACTTCTTGACATTGAAGTGAGCTTCGATGGCACTTGGATGACTAGAGGTCATAAGTCGCACCTTGGTATCGGCCTGATTGTTGAGTGCAATACCGGTTTGGCGATTGATTTTGAAGTCATTTCAAACTATTGCCAACGCTGCAATGCTTACGAAAAGCGTCTGAGCGCTGATGAGTTTGCTGAATGGAAGCGACTCCGTCATGCGAGATGTATGAAAAATTTCGATGGCAAGGCTGGTGCTTTTGAAAAGGAAGCCGCGGTTAGGCTCTGGGGCAGGTCTACCCAACTAGGCCTAAGATATGTAACTTTCCTAAGCGACGGCAACTCCAACGCATACAAGGCTGTCTGTGAAATGAATGACGGTCACGGGCCTTATGATGTCAATGTTGAGAAAGAGGACTGCATAAATCATGTCGCCAAGAGGTTAGGCTCACGCCTCAGAGCTCTAAAGAATAAGTCCAAGGTTGTTACCACGACAAAGGCCGGCAAGCAAGTCATGAAGAGCATGTATGCTGGGGCAGGCAAGCTGACCGATGGAGTGATAGATTTATTGACAAGGCATTTCGGTCAGAACCTCCGGAAGCACAACTCGTCTGCTGATGTTGCCACCGTGAGAGAATCAATCCTTGCCACTTACTATCACTCAAGTAGCACTGATGCACGCCCCAGACACGCATCTTGCCCCCATGGAGCACAATCCTGGTGTTGGGTTCAACGAGCAGAAGCTGCTAATAAGACACCTGAGCCTCACTCCACCAAGTCACTCCACCTTGCTGGTATGTCCCAGGAGCTCCTGAAGGGTATTCTCCAGGTATATGTTGATTTGTGCAGTGACCAACTGTTGAAACGCTGTGTCAAGCAGCGAACTCAAAACTCCAACGAAAGCCTCCATTCCAAGATCTGGCCAAGGTGCTCAAAGGAGAAATTTGCTTCACTTGACCGCGTCTTATTCGTTGCTCGTGGCACGGTCTTGGACCACAACATTGGATACGAGAAAGGAAACCTTCTTGTAGCTCTTGGATTGCGAACGCCTGACCACCTAAACATGTTGAAGGTAAAGGCTGCTGAAGTGACGACTCCAAGCCGCAAACCAAGAAAGACGCGCGCGGCCACTCCCAGCACTGGGTACGGCGCAGGGAATTTCTAAATTCCTTTCTTCTTCATTCTTCTCTTTTCTTGATTATGGGGTAAGTTGTTCATATCGACCCCATTTTCTTCCAATAATTCTTCTCTTTTTTTCTCAATTTCCTTCTCTCCATTTTTTTTCTTATTCTTATAATTTTTTTCTTTTATTTATTATCATTCAGTGCCGACTGGACAACAACGAGTCGTTGGCCACGATGATACCCTCGATTTCATTTGAGTAATAGGCGAGGACGTATTTAATGCTAATTAAATACCGAGCCGGGGATCCAGAGCCAGGCACTGGATAAATTTCAATACATTTTGTTATTTAATATATTATATTTTTTCTTTCCTTTTTTCGAAGTACAATTTCTTCCCATAGTTTTCAAGCTACAGCAATGAAACTTATACCATTGGATGCGCAAGAAAAAGATCTAGAGAATGATGTATGCGTTTTTGTAATATAGATTTATTTAGAATGCAGTTTTTTTAATTTTCATAAAAATTTTCAGTTTTTCAGCTCTCCTGAAAAACAACATTTTTCTGACTTGCAAACCTATCTCCTCCTAGAGTTTTGAAGCTACGTCAATAAGACATATACCGTTCGATTTGCAAATGAAAGATCTACAAAATGATGTATTGGTTTTTCTAAGTTCGTTATAGTTCGGATTTTATGTTGCAAAAAGGGGGGGAAAGTGGAAGTAAAATCGAAAATTTCAAACAATTTCGGACAAAATGCTCCCACACTCACAAAAATGAGAAATTCAAAAAACCAATACATCATTTTGTATATGTGGTCTTTATGCATCGAATGATATGTGTCTCGATGTTGTAGCTTGAAAATCCTAGGAGGAGATAGGTTTTCTAAAGTACCCCTTTTTTT